ACCCTGTCATTATCCCTATTATGATTAGCAGTCACTCTTCAAACACTCTGAGGATGCTTTTTGGTAACAGGACAGCTGATAAACCTACCCCAATCTGTCAAATTTATTCATTGGATTTTACACTTTATGTCAATAGTATAAAATTTAAAATGTATAGACATTCGATAGTTAAGGCTCATTTGGCCTCCCCTTCCCCAATTTCCCCAATCCCTGAAACCCCAATCTCCAACGATTCTCAAACTTCCCAAAAGGCCGGTAACTAGGGTTGCCACCTTTTTCTTTGGTATTTAAAGTACATTGACGATTATAGGTAAGAAAAAAAGTACATAGTATAAAAATAAAGTACAATTTATTCTTATTTAGTATTGTATTTAAAAACATATTTTTTATTGCTTTTTGCAGTTTGTATTAAATTAGTACCTTTACTAAAAAATTGCATCTTTACTAGAAATTGTCTAAGTGGCGGTGGCGAGTTATGGATTCAACATAAATTGATAAATATCGATATCGAATCGATAAGTTTACCAAAAAATACTAACGACTATAATAGAAATGAAGTTTGCAAAAATAAAGTATTTTCGTGTACTTTATTATTCTTATAAAGTATAGAGTACAAATACCTTAAATAACGTACAATACTTTATTATAAAGTATGGGTGGGAACCCTACCGGTAACGCACTTGTAACGCCTCTGATATTCCAGGTGTCAATGGGCGACGCTGAATGCTTACCAGGTGATCCGTTCGTTCTTTTACTGACTTATTCCATAAAAAAGATAACAAGGCGCGATGCCTTAAGACCAGTTCCATTCGCCTTGCACAGATAACGGCCTATATCACTCACTGGCTTTAAAGCATTGATACCACAACCGCATGAGACAACTGGAGACAAAATCCGACCCTCGAAAAGACTGTTTCTTTTCTTGTGTTGCTGGTTACTTTTTTTTTAAACATGGCCTACTGGCTACCATACTTAGGACTATAAACTGTACCGTCCATGTTGCATCATTATGCAAAACGATAGGTGGATTAACATTGTCGTTACGTGGAGAGTTTTCATTGTTTCTGAGCAAGAAGCAAGCATGACATTTGTAGGCCGCCTGTTATTCTTGAAGGATGCATGCATTTGTCAAATGACGCGCTATAGTAACATGGTAATTTCGGACAAATTGTTTCTGCTTTTCATGGACTTTAAAAAAAAAGGAGGAGGTTCTCAATTTAACTTTTTTTTTATGTTTGTTACTCGATTACACAAAGACGCCTGGACCGATTTCAAAAATTCTTTTTTGTTTGAAAGGGTTTTTTTTTTAAGGGGGGAAAATCATCGTATGACTGCTCCCGCCTGGGTGAGGCGGAAGGGAGTGTCAGACTCTTACTGACTAAAAACCACCCCGTTCCTTCTCCTGCACGTCGAGCCGGAGCCCCGGTTACCCGTTAGGTTCTCCGCGACTCCGAATCGGCATCGGCCCTATTGGGCCCCATCTGTGGTGGTCTGATGCCTCTTTGAGGCGCGCGCGGAACGCGACGCGCCGTACGCTCGGGTCTGTTTCTGATCGGACGGGGAGCCACCCATGCTCGCCGTCCGCAGTCCCGCGCTTACGGTGGCCGGAGATCGTCCCGCGATCCCCGACGCCCGGTGTGTCCTTCGAAATGGCTGGTTTGCGAGGAGGCAGCGCTTCGCTGCCTCACGCGTCCCGCCTCCTCCTTAGCTAGCATGACTGCTTCGCAAAAGGAGGAGACGGCATCCCAGTCCCCTCGCTCCGCATCATGGCCTGCACTAGGCCCGGACGCGAGAGGTCGCCATCGCCGATCACTTCCCTGAGCGCACGGCGGTGCTCAGCCCACGCAGGGCATTCCGCAACAGTGTGTTCCACCGTGTCCTCAGGGCGGTCTTCGCAGTGTTTGAAAGGGTAGGTTTGTCATTTGGTCCCATTGTCATGAAGTCAGGTTTTGATGATGGAATCCCAGGGAAACAGAGGGGAACTTTTAAAAATTATTGGGGCGACTAGTGCACTTGTTAATTTTTTCGTTAAGTATTTAAACTACCGCACCGAATAGGCACTGACTTCTCATCTATCAGTGGGTGTGTAAGCTATATGTAAGTACGTATGACCAATAATAGTTATTTTTTGCGTTTTAGTTTTTGTTTCTTTTTGTTTTTGAAGTCGGTTTTTTTTTCAATACAATAAAATATTCTAAAACAATGACAATGATTCAAAAGTTCAGCAATGGACATATTCAGACTGTTGATGACGATACTATTTGAGATAAGTACAGAATTAAAGTTATTGGTAATTACCCAATACACAATCTTAATAAATATTTTCCTTTAGCAATATTGTCATACAATATAGATTTTAAGTGATTACAGATTATCAGTTTTCAAGGTCGAAAACTTTCGATTGTGACTAATTTAATAATGCAAGGCAATTGTTTCATAAATGTAATAATATTGATAGAGGTATTATCATGATGACAGGTAAAATGAGTGACTGCATTTTTGTATAATAATAGTTGAGTTTTTCTAATGGAATAAGCCGGTAAACGAGCAGACCGACCTGATGGTAAGCAATCGAAGCACCAGAGGCGTTACAAGTGCATTACCGTCTATTGGGGATTAGGAATTTGAGTATTTTTGGGGATTTCCGAATTGGGATGAAAGGTAATTGGGCTTTCGGTAACATCACTCACTCGACACAATGCGAGCGTTGTTTCACAGCAGTTCTCTGCTCAACCGTGGTATCACACCGGTACAGCCGGCCCATTCGTGTCGAAGCATGACTCTCCCAGACCTCCCATACATAGACATACTAAATTAATTTAAAATAATGGTTTACTGTAAACAGCTCCATTAGTAGTAGAAAATGTTTCAATAATTGCATAAAGTTTAGAATTGTATGGAGTCCACAATAGGTTAATCCGCTATTACATGGCACTCATAATACATCATATTCATTACATTTATGTTCATTTGTCTATATTTATTATAGAATAATAAAGGTTTTACAACATAGTTGTGTGAATAGATTGTCATATAGTACATTAGTGCAACTCTGCCTATCCAATCAAGGAAAAAGCCCAGATAATAATACAAATCACACAATTAATTAAAATATAAGGTATTACACTAATTCAAAAAACTTTTTCCTTGAGGAAAATAAAGACTATTTGTGTTCATTTGTTACTGTTTCTAAGTAGGTCACATTGGAACCTTGTGCATTATCTATGCTTAGGTTGAACATGTGAATATCATTGCCAAAAAATATTAAAAAATGAAGACACATAATGGCCAATCCTACTCCTACTAATCCTTACTATCCTTTCTAATATTATAAATCGGAAAGTGAGTTTGTTTGTTTGTTTGTTTATTCCGCTTTCACACCATAACTACTAAACTGTGTAGTTACAAGTTCGGATTAACTAATAGGGTATGTTTTATCCCGGAAAAATTTGATACTCCCGAGGGAAAACAAAAGTATTGGTATAGATGGCACTGTGTGTTTTGTTATATGTCACATTGGCTTTTTATCCTTTTGTGACGCGAGCGAAGCCGCAGGTAAAAGCTAGTAATATATAAATTGTAAAGTTTGTGTGTATGTTTGTTACTCAATCATGTCAAAATGGCTGAAGAAATTGTGATGAAATTTGGAACAAGGGTAGATTATGGTCTGGATTAACATATAGGCTACTTGTATCCCACAGGAACGTAGGCAAAGCTGCTGGCAACATATTTCACTGGAGTAGGTACCTTGCATTATCTGTGCTTAGGTTGAACACATGAATATCTTTGCCAAAAAATACTGAAAAATGAAGACACAATGGCCAGCATTCTCCTACTCCAATCTATAAATTCTTTTTCATTGAATTTTTGACTTTAAAACAAAAGCATAAAATTGATAATAGGAATAGACAGAAAGGAGTAGCTGGACCAGTCTACATTTAGCATGACAAGATGACATGAACTAGATTTTGTGTTAACACCTAGAATTCGTGTCTAACTGTATTTTTGTGTACTTTGTGTTAGAAAGAGATGGCGTGACAAGATTTGTAGTGCTATCCTTTACATGGTAAGGGTAAAACTTTTAGATGAAAGTTTTTATGAATAAACAAATATTATTGATTATAAACATAATGTTTTAAATTACATAGCATCTGTTTATTATCATATTAATTTCATTATTACCTCAAAATGACATAGCTGTATAATTTATAACAAAAACTAAAATGCAACATACCTAGTTAAGTGTACAAAAACAAAAACATTGTAAATATATTTTTATGTACCTAAACTTTTAATTAAATTCAATGGCTGATAAAACTAACTATGTAACTGTGTTGTAATCTTGTTTTTAGTTAATTACTGGCTAGTAAGTTATCGCCATGCACACTCTTTCTTTTGTAAAACGCATACGAATTGCGAAATATCAAATGAGAAAGTAGCACAACAATGTCTCAAACAAATAACTCTGTATACCCCAAATATTTCAACTTTAGTCAAAAGAGGTTCATTAATATCACTTACAAAGAAGTTTTGAACACGTAAAAACTTTATTAACAAACAAAAAAAGAGTTTTGAATGCTCGAATTCTTATGAAACGTGACAATATTACCACGTAAGAATAATGTCATGGATGTAAATAAACAGCTCGTTATCGATACGGAAGTAAAGAGAATGTATAAAATTAAACATTAAACGCAACAGACCTCGACAAATACTACAGGAAACATACAGAAAGTATAACTTCAAGATCCGCATTGCAGGACGGCTTAAAAAATTAGTGCAAGACATTTTGACAAATATATAACACGTAGCATATTTTTAACACCTAAAATATCATTCGTTAAACCTTTCAGGAGTTGAATAAACCTCCGAAATCTACTTTTCTAATCAGATTGGTCATAAAAACACAAAATAGTCCAAACGAATAAAGGTAAAAGTAAATATGGCGGACGAACCATCCTGACATTATGGCTTGTTCCATTTAAACATTCCTGCCTTACCTGGGGTGCTATGGTATCTTCTATCATCCTTTCGGTCTCCATTTTTTGTTATTTCACAAGAAACATCAATATTAAGTCCACTAAAACACCACAAATAATGAAACCACTATCGCTAAATACTCATCGCTCGCATGACGTCAAGCACTGTTTTTTTTTTTTGAAAATATGTACAACTAGTAGCAAAGGTATTTTATGATCATACAGCCTTGTCTTAAAAATGAATTAGAAAATTTACAATGCTGTAATATTTATATTGCTTGCTGTATATATATTACGAAACTGTACTATGAATATAATAAAAATCTTATTTGAATGTCAGAAAATATGAAATAATCCGAAATCGATCATCAATTTAACGTTACCAAGACGCTATATACAAGTGTAAAGAAACGTATTGAAACGTCACTAAAAAAAAAATAGAGATAAACCTTTTCTGTCAGTACTAATAAAAGGGAAGTAGTCGATTAGTGATTTATTATCAATCATGAGTTTATCAATTTTATCATTCCACCGAAATTCCCTACTAGATAATGACTGTGATAAGTTTTTCTAAGTTTGATAATTACCTTAGGGAATATAATAAACATAATAAATAAAGATACGTGCTTTCGGTAAGATTTGAGACTAATTTTAACAAAAATATTTATTCAAACTAATGGTTATTTCGTTACTCGAAACTTATTTTCTTACTCACATCTACACTCATTTAATTATTAATGTTATGAATGTTTATGTGCAAGATAAATCTTTATCCATTTATCTTCAAGAGATTGTGGGTATTTAGATTTAGTATTCGAGGAATCCGATTAGAACATCTCTTTTATAAAAATGTATATTGTCAAAATAAGGCTATAAATTCTCGTATGTCAAAGTCAAAGGATTTATTGTCATCGCAAGCAAACCTATAGCAGGAAATACCTATAAAAATAGTTCACTGTTATAAAAATATAAATCAATAATGTGGATACTAACTCTCTATATAGTGAAGACAACATATAGATAAGTTATAAAACTAGCAGTGTGTGTCGAAATATTCATGAAAGCGACGTATCGAAATACGCAATCTGAATCTTAAGTAGTATTGTATTTAATCTACTAATTTTACTAAACAGGTCAGTATTTACTCTTTTATTTATCTCAATATATATCCTACGGTCACGACTGACCATGTAATATAAAGCTTTAGCGGTGAACTTGCGTTATTTTCTGAGAAACAATAAAATATACACCACTTATTATTACGGTATTTTTTGCGATACTCAAAGAATCTCCGGGAGTTTTCATAGTCTATTCTGTTTGATCGATGGCTGTTTACACTAGTATTACTAATTTGACGTTTCCTTGTACCCATGTTCATGAAAAAGTGGGAAAAACATGTTTTATCTATACATAAATTGTTTTTATGTACATAATACTGTTTAATATAACATTTGACGTGTTTTCTTAAAAGATTTGTGTTGTAATGAAATGTTTTCTTAATAGAATAACGTGTGGAGAACCTTATTCAAAAGTATGTGTAAAGATTTCATTACTTTATGTTTAATATTTGATCTATTTGTTTGAGGAAATCATTTATTTCATATTCACACTGTTCTTCTTTGTAGTTGTGTATTGAGAGTATTGTATTATCTATTACGAAACATACAACTTATAGAGACGATATTCTCGTGTAACCCATGTAGTTGTTATTTTGTTTAACCCTTTGAGTACAGTCATTATAGACACAAATAAAGAACAATAGGTTGCGGTCACCGATGTCCTCGCGGTGTTTGACAGTTTAAATTCTTAGCCAGAGTTTGTGTTTCTTGAAGTATGTCCTGTACATCAAATCTTTAACCTGTGTATCCCCTAGCAGTGACCGGTGACCACACTCCACTAACTCCAATATAGACCTAATTTCCAATGTTTAGAGACTACTTTTGTATGAACAAATATAGGGGATGAATTTCAACTGGTTAAATTACTAGATTTCCTAACTGACTACTCTGAGAAGAAACGCCAAAACAAACTCAGATGTTGTTTCCTCTTTTAAAGGCCAGACCGATTATATAAAGTGCGAGAACCGTGCTAATTGATTCTGTAGTGGTCTTTTGAGGAAAGATCCACAACAGTTTAAGCAGACCCGTTCTGATGGCAGCTCGCATGTGTCAGTTTCCGATCAGCTCAAGTAACAAATGTTGCTGATGGCTCGATGAACAATTCGAACCAAAACAACATTTGTGTAGTTCACACAAATGCTCAAACTGTCTGAATATTACTAATTAAGTAAAAGTGAAATAACTAGGCACAGCCTCACACGGTACTTTCACTTACAAATATAAAAGAAAAGAAAATGATATCAGTTGACTAGGGCAACAATTTCTTCACAGGTCTTTTTTTTTTTTTTTTTTAAGGGGGGAAAATCATTGAATGTCTACTCCCGCCTGGGTGAGGCGGAAGGGAATGTCAGACTCTTACTGACTAAAAACCACCCCGTTCCTTCTCCTGCACGTCGAGCCGGAGCCCCGGTTACCCGTTAGGTTCTCCGCGACTTCTTCACAGGTCTACTGGTCTCTATTGTAATGGAATCTCCTAATCTTACTAGTCATTTTTTCTGTTATCGTTATAGGTCTGAACAATGCTCTCTGAAGACGGTATGGAGAACAGGCGAGGACCTCCCGGAGTCAACTCCAGGTCCATGAGTGTTGCTCACTCTGCTGCTGATCTTGAGGTGAGATTTTTTTTTTAATACAAATGCTTCTTGGTTAAGCGTGTTCATGTTGATGATACAACTATTAAAACTAAACTCTGAAAAAAATTAATAAACCTTAAGTAATTATGTTGTCGAACTCGGGAATTGAACCCGACACTTCACCTCATTTAATTTCTGTTTCATTATTGTATTGTTTCACTACTTTGTTGGCCGAGTGGTTGCAAGTGCGACTGCCGCGTACTCCCAGTAGTAGCACGGAGCTGTTGTTTCTTTGTTCTTGAGAGTAATGAGGAACTGACGAATAACATTGAATATTTAACAATTCTTCCATACTAAAAACTGTCAAATGTCAATTTTATTCTACAGTTAAGAATTAACTGATGATTACGATTGAAAAATCGGCCCAAAGATTATTATTATTAAGTATCTTTTTCATAATCTTTGCATTTGTGTGCGAGTCTGCTGTCGAATTAATTTTTTCGTCGCGTTTGCGACCACTTTAGCCGAAATTTTAGCGCTTGTCTACAGAGAGAGTAGAAATCAAAATATATGAGGATGACACTGACAACTGGCAAAATTTACGTCAATCCTTATTAATATAATCGGAAAGTGAGCTTTCACGCCGTAACTACTAAACCGATTGCTTTGAAATTTTGCAGATGTAAAGTTATAAGTCCGGATTAAATAAGAGGGTACTTTTTATCCCGGAAAAATTTGATATTCCCGAGGGAAAACAAAAGTATTGGTATAGATGGCGCTGTGTATATCGTTATAATGTCATATAGGCTGCTTTTTATCCTTTTGTGACGCGAGCGAAGCTGCGGGTAAAAGCTAGTTCCATATAATTTAATTTTATATTCTACACGTAGACAAGCGCGAAATGGCATTTGGTTACAGCTGCTGTTTATAAGACGGGCAGCGCTGATCGCTTACTATCTGGTGACAGGTCTTTATCTGTCACCGTATCCTTTAAAAAAATTAGAGACCGATTTCAAATCTTACAGGTACTTAGAGAGATAGAGAATGTATACTTCCGACCGCCATCGGAGTTTGATGCCGGCCGCTATGTGCTGGAACACGCGCCGGCGACCTCCTGCGATGATATAGAACGCATGTTCACTAAACTGAAGCGGCAGCAACAGGTTTGATTCTATATTTGTATTCTGTATAGTTAAAATTAAAATGTCGTGGTGGCCCGGATGTTTAAAACCTAAGCTTCTCATGCACGAGGATGCGGGCTCGAAACCTACCAACGGCAAGTGCCAATGTGACGTTTTCCGCGTTATATGTACTTTCACCACTGGCAAACGGTGAAGGAAACCTGGGCTTTTAATTTCTAATTATAAGTTTAAAATCGCCAACCCGCATTGAGCAAGTGTGGTGGTTAACGCTCAAACCTTCTCCGTGTGAGATAAGGCCTTTGGTCAGCAGTGGGCACTTATTGGATGTTGATGATAGCAAAAATGATCCTTTGACAAAGGTTACAGGTTGCTGGATCGCTTCCAGCCAGTTGGCCGAACTGCTAGGCTGTTCTGTAACTATCAATTTAAACTTTCGAAGTCAGTTCGATCTCGTTCTCGCCCGTCATTGGTCGAGATTATTCTCACAACCAATGACATGGTGAACCGCAATCTAGTTGACTTCGATCTTTGAAATTGAAAGTCAGAGTTTCAGGAATCGAAAAAAATATTTACCCTTTGTAAGATGCTCGAAAAACCCCGAGAATACTTACCAATCTACTCCCATCGAGTCCCACTAGCGTACAAACACTTCAAACAAGAATTTCCTATGTATAAATTTCTTCCACAGGTAGTCTCCGGAAAAGCCCTCCATTTAATCTCCCAACAGAGAGATAACTGCGACAGGGAGTTTAAAGAAATACAAAACATTCGCGAACAACTCTCAACGACACTACAAACATGTCAAAAGGCCCGGGTTCAACTCAGAGCCGCGTCAAATCACCTCACAATATCAACATTTGTAATCCTTGCAAATTTTCGGAAAAGACAAATCATCAGATCGGTACTGAAATCGTTAGAGCTACTCCGAAGTTTACGCAGCGTCGAAAAAGATGTTGCGGACTTGCTAGTAAAAAAAGAATATTATGAAGCCATAGATTTGATTCTGAAAAGCAAAAAGGCTGCTAGTCTTCATAAAGAGTATACATGCATATCAGATTTGGCATCTCGTCTCCAAGATACGCTGGATATGACAGAAGAAAAATTGGACACAGTACTAGCAAGCCTCTGCTACAATTTCGACGAAAATATCTTTCGGAAATTGCGAAAAACTTACGCTCTGCTTGGAAAAACTCAAGCGGCCATGGAGCAGTTACATATGCATTATTCTTCCGCGGTAAATGAGTCTGCTATCGAAGCAGTTAAGAGTTATGTAGGAGACATTTCCGATATGAAATTCAAAGAAATGTGTCAGTCCGTGCAAGCGAATAAAGCTCCTATTTGCTTGTTGAATTTGTGCGAAAATCTCTTCTTAATCATGAGGAGTTATTACCTCTTAGTGGAATGGCATTCGAAATATGACGAAGAAGAATCGATACCGATCTCGAGTAATGTTTTTGAAATCGAGAAGAATGTTAGCAGAGAGTATATAAGGCAGAAATTAAAAGCTGGGCTTGTTCGGATCTGGAACGATGTCCAAGCTAAAGTCTCAACGTTTTTGCGCAGTTCTGGCATAGAAGAGTATCCCTTTGAGAAGTTCATACAAATGTTAGGAGTGCTAAGAAAACTGACTCAAGTCGCTGAAGTGTTTTGTGGTGATAAATCAGACCTTTTGCAAGATTTTATTAAGACCCAAAGTGTTTTGTACATAAAGAACTATCACAAGGGACGGATGGAGGAATTGAAGCTTTTTTTGGAAAACGAAGGCTGGGAACAGTGTCCAGTTAAATCTACGTTTAATTTACTCTACCTACAAGAGTTCAAACAGTTCAAAAAGTACCTAAATGTTAGGACAGACACTTCTCTTCTAAAGACCCAATCCGATGGAGCGTCCTCGGTCCATTCGCAAGAAAACAGCGTCTATATCGCGAAGTACTTCAAACAAAGCACACACCACACGCCATTCGAGATCTTTCGCAATGAAAATATAACGAATGATGATATTTTTGGCCTTGAACCGGAGTTGGTAAGCGATGATTCGGAGGATGACGAACCAGATGAATTAAAAAGGGATTTTGTTGACGAAAATGATCGGCCTGAACCGAACCAAAGTCCTAGCAGAGTTACGGATAGTGTCATAGTCACAAATACCACGTTATCAGTCCTAAGACACTGCGGACAATACCTCCAAATATGTCGCTACTTACCCCAAATTTCATTAGAAGTCGTGATGCTAATGAACCAACTTTTCGACTACTATTTCTTTACTGTACACCTATTTTTTACCTCTGATTTAGACGTCGCTTCTTCAACTTTATACAGTGCGAAATTGAACGCTGTCTTAAAGAGGATAAAGAACAATATTGATACGGATAACTCTGGCGAGGTTGACGGCAAAATACCTTGTCCAGATCCCCCTCAGCATCTAAACATGACTTCAGAAGAAAATTTGCACGGTCTTCCGGAAAGGATAGTTGCGGTTGAAAGCGTTATCTTCTTGTCGAAGCAATATGAGATCTTGCAACCTTACTTAGAGTCTATAGTCGCTCCTCACCAGAGAATGATCTTAGAACATTTTAAAGATAATACGTTGGCCGTCGTTCAGGACTTAAGGGTGCCCGTGTATATGTGTTCGGCCTCTAAAGCGGTCGACGCAAGAACAGCTTTAATAGCCATGTCGCAAGTCAAATGGGACGTCAAAAACGTCGCAGTCGAACACAGCGCTTATGTAGACATGATTATACGCAAAATACAAGTTTTTGCGCTTCGTTTAGAGAATATTTCGACGAAAATAACTCTTAATATTGACATTTTGAACTCTATATGGAGTATGGTGTCCAAATTCATAGTTCATTTGCTTGTTGAAGGGTTTTCGAATGCGACGAAATGTTCGAATGGGGGTCGAGGCTTAATGCAATTAGATTATCGGCAATTATTCCTGAAACTGGAGAAGATTTCAGGATTACGGCCTGTGCCCTTTCAGGATTACGTAGACAGATACGTCAAAGCTTACTATTTACCGCGAAAAAGTCTAGAAGAATTTGTCCTAGAAAGAGTCGAGTATTCAAATAAACACCTTCTGGCATTAGTTACTTGTGCCTGCGAAAATAAAAAAGATAGACAAGCGTTGTCTGTGATTATTGAGAGTAGAGATGCGACTGCGTAGTGTTGCCAGGTGAGATAATGAAAATATATTTTTAAGCTGGTAACTTTATTTGAGAAAATGTTATGCCTTAAGGTATAGACAGAGATGACCAATTAAAATCTTTATGTTGTAATAGGATTCGGCACAAACCCTAATACTAATTATACTTTTGGCTATATGAACCTAGGGCTTTAAGAAGAGCAGTCGAGGTTCCAACCACTCAACAACTAGAAGTTTATATCAAAAATGTACTTAATTTTATTTATAAGCTTCGTACAAATTGTGATAATTATATAAAAAAAAATCATATAAAAACAATCATATTACCAATTTTCATCGATATTACCCCATTCTGCTTTGTACCTATATGTCTTAGTGTGATGTTACATAGCCTATAATCTTCCTAAACAAAAAGAATTACTCAAATCGGACTGATACTTACAGAGATTAGTGCGTACAAACAAACAGACAAAAATACTTCAGCTTTATTTAATTTAAATAAATTAGATGAACTAGGTTTATCCCGCGACTTATAACATTAATTCATCTTAGTTGAGTTCAGCTCTGATTGGTTGGTTCATTGGAAGCGGCCAATCAGAGCGCTGAACGCGGTTTCGATATCGGTAACCGTAAAACGAACTCGGTCTAAGCCATCTGCTGACGGCAGTGTAAGAATATATTTGTCAGCACCTCTACTCCCCCTGATGTCGTAAACTCGACTAAGAGACTACACTATGGTCGATCTGGCAGCATTTCAGGCCCTCAGCTAGGACAGAATAGAACCCTCCCGATTTTTAAGGTAAACAAAAACAAAGTTGCTCGGTGCGGTATTCCGGACCTATTTCGGCCCGGGGTCCATAGCGATCGCAGACTGTCTTATATGGCCAGACCGCCCCTGGACTACACATTAGACAGAGACCGGGCAGCAGCGCTCTCTGATAAACCTGAACCTTTTGAACTGTGATCTCCAAACAAGTAACAGAGATTATGGCAAACCCTCTAATGTAGATGAGGCTCATTCGCTAACAGTGGATTCTTGATGATCTATAAAATTCTTTAGACATGATTAGTTTTTGCGCTTCGTTTAGAGAATATTTCGACGTAAATAAATCTTAGTATTGACATTTTGAACTCTATTTGGAGTATGGTGTCCAAATTCATAGTTAATTTGTTCGTGGAAGGGTTTTCGAATGCGACGAAATGTTCAAATGGGGGTCGAGGCTTAATGCAATTGGATTATCGGCAATTATTCCTGAAACTGGAGAAGATATCAGGATTACGGCATGAGCCTTTTTACCGGAGACTGAGAGAGTGGTAAACAGTACACAGCTATAACCAGAGGCGAATTAACCTCTTGAATGCACCACATAACATCATGCCTTTTATCCCCGAATGGGTAGGCAGAGGTGCATATTGCGGCACTTAAGGCAACTGTACAATGTAACACTCATTTTTCACTATTTATTTTATGAGTCCCATGTAATAGGGAGTGAGCCTATTACTGCATACCGGGCACAATTCCAGATTCGGTGCTACTACCTACTGCATTTTTTTTAAATTCAGTAATACTTTGCCCGACCAGGGAATTCAACCCGAGACCCCTTGCCCGGTAGTCGCACTTGCGACCACTCGGCCAACGAGCCAGGATACTTGAATATGAGACAACCAAAAATACATTGTGTCTCGCATGGATCCACATTTAGACACACGAAAGGTTAAAGGTAGGCAAGCACCTGCTTGCCTATGGCGCTCTCTATGTATAACGTCATAGGCGTGACAATTTTTTTGTCGACGCCGTCAGTTGTGCACGCGCGTCTCCCGGCGCCCCTCTGTAACCTGGCGCCCGGCACTTGTCTAGAGCGCCTTAGGGATAATACGGCTCTGGCTATAACTAATGCACGTAGCAAGCTGTGTGTCATGTAGCGCGCTAGGGAAGTGTAGGGGAGTAAGTCTCGGGAAAAGTCTAGATTTTGTGTAATATTATTGATTATGTTTTAAAGATAATATGAAAATGTATGAGATTAATATAAATGTAAAACATTTAGTATGCATGTAAGAAAACAAAGATTGATTCAGTACAGAGATAGTAGCCATTGGTTGTCTAGAGCCGACCAATGGCTACAAAAGATATGGCTTCGTTACAAAGTTAATAACACCACAAGACAATCGGCGAAGCGTCACCGATTCATGGTAGATGTCCCACCCAGACACAAAGCGCTTCACAACAAGCTTCCTTGTACGTACTGGTACTAAGGAGTGGAATTCTTTGCCAGAGTGTATTTCCTCCACAGATGGGGCCCAACAGGGCTGATGCCGATACGGAGCCGCAGAAGACTTAACGGGTAACCGGGGCTCCGGCTCGAAGTGCAGGAGTAGGAACGGGGTGGTTTTTAGTCAGTAGACAGTCTGACACTCCCTCTCACCCGGGCGGGAGAAGTCATTGGATGATTTTCCCACCTCAAAAAAAAAAGAGTGTATTTCCTGAAGGGTATATATCTATAACCTGGGTGTCTTCAAGGCCCGAGTGACTAAGTTGCTGATGGGACAACGAGTTTCATCGTAGACAGCATCATCGCTTACCACCAGTGCCTTTAGCCAAACGCCACTTCAGCGCTTGTCTACAGAGAGAGTAGAAATCAAAATGTATGGGGATGACACTGACAAGTGTCAAAATTTACGTCAATTCCGTATAATTTGGTTTTCTATTCTACATGTAGACAAGCGCTAAATGGCATTTGGCTACAGCTGCTGGTGAGATAGTGGTCAAACGTCGAACCATCAAATACTATATATAAAAAAAGCATACAATTCAGTATAACCATAGCTACTGTCTCTGTACTGAATCAATCTTTGTTTTGTTACCTGCGTACTGTATAACCGGAGGTCTTAGTACAAGTTTGGTTTACGTTTAAAGTATTCGTAACGAGACCTCGTTCGGCGCTCTGAGTGCCAAGCACGAATAACTATCGCATTCGTATCGTAACAGTATCGAGCGAGTTAAGCGTTCTGATTCGTTGGTTCACTTGAGCCGGCCAATCAGAGTGCCAAGCACGAATAACTATCGCATTCGTAACGTAATAGTATCGAGCGAGTTAAGCGTTCTGATTGGTTGGTTCACTTGAGCCGGCCAATCAGAGTGCCAAGCACGAATAACTATCGCATTCGTATCGTAACAGTATCGAGCGAGTTAAGCGTTCTGATTCGTTGGTTCACTTGAGCCGGCCAATCAGAGTGCCAAGCACGAATAACTATCGCATTCGTAACGTAATAGTATCGAGCGAATTAAGCGTTCTGATTGGTTGGTTCACTTGAGCCGGCCAATCAGAGCGCCGAACGCGCTCGATACTATTACGTTACGAATGCGATAGTTATTCGTGCTAGGCACTCTGATTGATGATTGGTTCATTGCCGCCAGCCAATCAGAGGCTTTAGTACGAGTTTATTTTATGTTTAAAGTAATAGTAACGAGAACGCGTTCGGCACTGTGATTGGCCGGCGCCAATGAACCAACCAATCAGAGCGCGGACAAGGTTTCGTTTCGATTATTTTAAACGTAAATCAAACTCGTATTAAGGCGTCTGGCTGACTGTATATAATAATATTGTACAAATGTATGTATGTACGTGTAGGTCAATTTGTAAATCTCAAACAAAAGACAATTAGATAAGGTTTAATTATTATTTTTATGTTAATAACAAAAATCTTTATATTATTATTATTATGTGAATTAAAGAACACGTTCATTATACATATGTTGGTTTTATTTTTAAACTATTTACAATCTTACTTAGGTATGCTTGAATACTAAAAGGCTACTAATTTGAAGATGTACTTAAATATCGTGCTGTCTTTGTCATTTTATATAGAATTTGTAGAGACAGAACTATTCTTGAGAGCCTTAGGTACAATACGTACAATTGGGTACTTTGCTTAATCAAAAATAAATTATTTCGACTGTTCAATACAATAAAATATTAAAATATAATCACACTTTCATTAATTACTTTTATGACCAACTTAATTTTAGTATTTTTCCAGCAATTTTTTAAGAAATAAGTACGCTGTTTGACGCTAAAAAAACGTGACGTCACAATACATAAATTCGTACATCATTCATAGAAAACTGTCGTTTTTGATAGTTCGAAAAAAGTATTGAATTTGACTAGTTGGCAAGTATCCAATTTAATTGACACACCAGATGACAAAAATGTAGGAAGGGGCTTTTTATCCAATTCCATAGTGCATACAGGGATAGTCGCCGATTTGTGTCTCCATTATATTTATATTATAGTTGTCTAAAGGGCCTCTGCGCAGTTGGCTTCGGCCCCTCGTACGCCTCCCAAATGACCGGGACCCTGTGGTCCCGTGAATGGTAGAGACATACATAATTAATTATAACTTTTATTCATTTTTCCATCATATTACATAGTGATGTAGACCTTAATACTAGTTTTATAATATTGACAAAATTTGTGAGAGACTGGTTCTATATATGGCTTTTGCGTAATTTAAGTGACAATGCAATGATGGAAGCCGGGAACCAAAACTAGGATTACCTGTGCTATGGGCTCCTAATGTGTCAACACAAGCTATGTCACAACACAAGCTATGTCACAACACAAGCTATGTCACAACACAAGCTATGTCACAACACAAGCTATGTCACAACACAAGCTATGTCACAACACAAGCTATGTCACAACACAAGCTATGTCACAACACATGGTATGTCACAACACAAGCTATGTCTCAACACAAGCTATGTCACAACACAAGCTATGTCACAACACAAGCTATGTCACAACACAAGCTATGTCACAACACAAGCTATGTCACAACACAAGCTATGTCGCAACACAAGCTATGTCACAACACAAGCTATGTCACAACACAAGCTATGCCACAACACAAGCTATGTCACAACACAAGCTATGTCACAACACAAGCTATGTCACAACACAAGCTATGTCACAACAAAAGCTACATAATTATTATTCTCTAATGGACGAAGAACGAGCATGTGTCACGATAATTATTTTAATACACCTCAGTAAAATCTCCCCCGAACATCAAGTTTCGGTAAGTAATCTACTTCTCTAACGAATTGATCATAATCACAACAGAAGCTAAATGTTCCATCATTGGACCGCCATCTTAGCCATTTGAAATTATTATAGTAATCGTCTTTGTCACAAATATTATCGCAGAAGACTAGACTGTTTGTCATAGAGTCGTTGTAGAAAGATGAGTTTATGGTCAAGAACACTGATGCCCTCTTCTGTGACGGGTCGTAGACCAGCTGTAAAAGAAAACAAAGGTTAGGTGCTGGTTACCGGGGCTCCGGCTCGACGTGCAGGAGAAGGAACGGGGTGGTTTTTAGTCAGTAAGAGTCTGACACTCCCTCCCGCCTCACCCAGGCGGGAGCAGTCATACGATGATTTTCCCCCATTAACTCGTCGAGTACCGGTTTTATAGACACAATTAAAGAACAATAGGTCGCGGTCACCGGTGACCGCTTGGTGTTTGACAGTTTAAATAAAAAAAGGGTCTGGTTTTGTTGTGAAGTGGTTGTAGATGCTCAAGTTAATTTTGGTTTGATTCTTGTGTCAGGTATTGTTGTTTTAAGTGTTTTGATTGAAAAATTCGTAGCTACTAAGTACCTACAATAACACAACATAATATTTCGAATATTTTTCAATTGAAACATACCTACTTAAGTAAAACTTATTTTCTAGACAGATAGTCCAACCCAAGACGTCGGTAACAGTCGAAAAACAAGGAATTCTATGTTTTTATAAAAACTATCGTGAGACATACTAAATTAACTAAAAATCGCTGGTTACTCACGTGAATATACTGAGAAAAGCTCTACTAGAAGTAGGCTGCGCGACATCGCGGCGACAGCGCACGCTGCTCATGAGGAAGAACCCCTCTGTGGTTCGAAACTAGTAGAGCTTTTCTCAGTATATTCACGTGAGTAACCCGCGATTTTTAGTTAAACAAGGAATTCTCATGATCTTTCATTAGCGTTTATTTTTATTAATTCCTCCATCCCGAGAATCGAACTCGAATTCTCGTATTTAGCAACCACCACATTGGTACGATCAAAGGTCAAAAGTCCACTGTCACCGTACTACACTACTATCGGTTGCGCTACAGCGCTTATAGACACACACACTCACGCATATTTTTATCCGTGTGCGTACGCGTGCGTGTGTTTATGCGTACGCACACGTTTTTATGCACATTAATATGAAATTACTTACGCATTGCCGTGTGAACATCACTCACGGTGGCAGTGGACTTTTGACCTTTGACTGTACATACGTTGGTAGGTACTTCACACACTGGTTCTCAACTTACCTTATAAAAATACATAGGCACAGGAACATTAAAGTTATTGTTCAGATCTGCATGTAGAAATATGTCCCTCATTCGACCTCCTTTGTCAGGTAGAGTCATCATACCATGGTTCCCAGTATACACTATCACTGGAGTACCCAACTCATGGACACGACGCCTTAACGCCTGGAATGAAAACATATAGAAAGAAAGAGAAAGAAAAAACATTTATTTGGCAATTGTTGCTGTTGCTGTCGTACGACATTATTTAGATAATTTTATGTAGAACATTTCCGTCATACATGATTTCTATGTAGCTTTAACTATTAAGCCTGCTCACGTGACGGAAACTTGAAAAATGAAGTAACTTCTCCCGTTTTCCCAACACTCACTCGTTTTCCTTCACTGCTCTGCTCCTATTAATTGTAGCGTGATGAAAAGTATACTATAACCTCCCCAGGAGTATGAAGAATAATTGTACCAAGTTTTGTTAAAATCCGTCGAGTAGTTTTTATTTCTATAAGGAACATACATACAGGCAGACATACAGATAAACAGTGAAAAACAATATTTTATTCATTTATTACTTTATAGTTATTTTGGTATGTGTAAGTGTATCGTATCTATGTATATTCGGATGCATGTGGTTATTTTAATAGTACAAACAGACACTCCATTTTTATTTATCTGTATAGATGTAGGTCCACTGTCCAGTGACACACGTACGCTGGTATCGTCATAAGCTAATGTTGACATGTAAACAGTGACTCGTGTAGTGTAGATGTCCAGTCAACTGATGGTAGCGAGGTTCACTGTCCAGTGACACACGTCCGCTGTATCGTCATGAGCTAATGTTGACATGTGAACAGCGACTTGTGTAGTGTAGATGTCCAGCCAACTGATGGTAGCGAGGTTCACTGTCCAGTGACACACGTACGCTGGTATCGTCATGAGCTAATGTTGACATGCAAATAGTGACTCGTGTAGTGTAGAGATGGTACTTACTTCTTCTAATGCCGCCCAGTCGCCGGCGTTGCCTCTCATCCATTGAGGAGCAGTGTTGACGTAGTGAAAGGTAGCTCTAATGAGGGCGCTGGTAGCATAATCCGCATTAGCAGCGAGGTGACCTCTTGAGAGGAACTGGAAAATATTACATAACATAACGTCACGCCTTTTTATCCCCGAAGGGGTAAGCTGAGGTGTACATTACGGCACTTAATGCCACTGTACAATGTAACACCGAATTTTCAATACTAATGTTATGAGTCCCGTGTAATAGGGGGTGAGCCTATTGCTATATACCGGGCACCATTACAGACTTCATGTTACTACTGATATTAAAACAAAAACCAGTAATACTTTGGCCGCCCCGAGAATCGATCGGGGTCTGTATTTCCTTGTTATTACTTTATATATCGAAAGTATTGCTCGTGGCAAGTTGTTTTGCTGCGAGAGGAAAACGAAATACAGTAGTTATATAAGTTTACCTGTATTTTACTCAAGTAATGGTCTCCCATTTTTGGTCCCAGTATGGAGTCGAGAGCTTGAATCTGACTGTTCATTTTGTATACTTCGTTCATACGGATCTTTCCAAACAAGGTTCCCTCTGTAAAAAGGTTTAATGATGAAAGGTTAAGTGTGGGCAATGCAACGGCTCGAATACCACGGCCGAGCAGAAAACTAACGTGAAGCAACGCTTGGGTTGTGTTTCGTCGTGTGAGTAAGGTTACCGGAGACCCAATTACACCCCCTTTTCTCCAATCTCCCCAATCCCTGAATCCCAATAATCCTCAAACTCCTAATCCCCAAAAGGCCGGTAACACACTTGTAACGCCTTTGGTGTTCCAGGTGTCCATGGGCGACGTCGATTGCTTACCATAAGGTGATTCGTCTGTTCGTTTACCGGCTTATCCCATAAAAAAGATATCAATGCGCGATGCCTTAAGAGACTGCCAGTTCTATTAGTCTTCCATAGATAACTATAACACTCATAGGCTTTAAAGCAGTGATACCACGACCATCCGAGATTCGAACTCGACCCCGGGCCCGGCCCCTTGTGACCACTGGGCCGATAAGGCAGTTTTTTCATCACAATATATAGTGATGTAGACCTTAATACTAATCTTATAATATTGACATAACCTTGTGAGAGCCCTTGGTTCTACATTATGGTCTTGCGTAGTTTAAGAGGCAATGCAATGATGAAAGTCAGGAACCCAAACTAGGATAACCTGGTGCTATAGGCTCCTGGCCTTTTCAAAACCATCAAGTGATCCGCATCCCATACAAAAATTGCGTTTAAACCGACTTCAAAAACCAAAAATAAACGAAAAGTGAAAAATAAAAAGCAAAAAATAACTATTATTGGTCATACGTACCTACTTATAGCTTACACACCCACTGATAGGTTAGAAGTCGGTGCCATAAGTTTTACACAAAATTATTCATTAAAAGCTTTTTTTTTTTTAAGGGGGGAAAATCATCGAATGACTGCTCCCGCCTGAGTGAGGCGGAAGGGAGTGTCAGACTCTTACTGACTAAAAACCACCCCGTTCCTTCTCCTGCACGTCGAACCGGAGCCCCGGTTACCCGTTAGGTTCTCCGCGACTCATTAAAACCTTAATAGATACCTAACATTATTAAACTGTTTACAATTTTATTACGGGTTATACCTGTGACCATTACTTAAGTTATATTTTGTTATGGGTTTATGCCACCGACTTCTAACCTATCAGTGGGTGTGTAAGCTATAAGTACGTATGACCAATAATAGTTATTTTTTACTTTTCGTTTGTTTTTGGTTTTTTAAGTCGTTTTTTTTAAACGCAGTTCAATCGAGTAAAATACATAAAAAAACAAAAAGAATGAATAAAAAAGTACAATCGAATTGAGATCCTCCTCCTTTTTTTTGAAGTCGGTTAAAAAAGCAGTAAGTACTTACCAGTAAATTGTGGTCTCTTTAATCCATTTTGCCGGAATACACTATTCGGAGTTATCCGATGTTGCACGAAGTGTGTTCGCACCAAGTTCTTGTCGAAACATGCTTCGTATATCGGATAGAATTTACTTCTAACTTGGTAACCGACCCTGGAACATTATTTTAAAAATTTTTTTTTAAGGATATTACATCAGCTTTTTACCTAGGAGGGTCATCCTTTGGCACTGGCACTTCGGTACATTAATTTAAAACTGTAGACACGTATTTTTTCTTTTCTCACAAAATTAAATAGTTTCGACGATTATTAATTTGAAATATCGTGTGACGTCACAGCGTGCCACATTTTGTAGCACGTTATGACGTCACGACCTCCCACTGCTAAACTTAACGCCATTTTATCTAAGTATAGCAACCTAATACGAGAAAAAAAAATAAGTGTCTAATATTTTTTCATTATCTAACTGACGGACTAATTTTTTTTAAGGGGAGAAAATCATCGAATTACTGCTCCCGCCTGGGTGAGGCGGGATGGAGTGTCAGACTCTTACTGACAAAAAACCACCCCGTTCCTTCTCCTGCACGTCGAGCCGGAGCTCCGGTAACCCGTTACGTTCTCCGCGACTCCGAATCGGCAACGGCCCTGTTGGGCCCCATCTGTGGTGGTCTGATGGCTCATTGAAGTGCGCTCAGAACGCGACGCGCCGTACGCTCGGGACTGACGGACTAATTAGATTTTTAATTTCGATACCCTGGAATAGTTTCCAGGTAAAGTGGGTAGTCCCAATTTACCCACTATCCGATAACAAGAAAAACAATCGTGGAACTCACTGGTACATCTGTGTCCGTCCATTATAACACGTCTCCCTCTTCTCCTGGGTAGTGAACCAGGGATGTGAGTTACAGCGGATGTCTTTGAAGCTGAGGATCTGACGGTCGACCCTGAATGTGTTGTTTATAATGCAATGTGCCTCCTGAAACATAAAACTGGACAACGTTAAGCCTATGACCAGGGTTACAGAAGACCATACCGGGTTATATTTTTTTAAACTTTGCCCCACACTATAATTTTTCCTGTGTCGTGAGTGCGTTTACAAATATAGAAGTTTACATACACATGACACACAGACCTAAAACCACAATAATGTGAATCACACAAAGATTTGAAGAAAGACTGCCTCGTTGGCCGAGTGGTCGCAAGTGCGACTGCCGGGCAAGGGGTCTCGGGTTCGATTCCCGGGTCGGGAAAAGAATTAGTGGGTTTTTAAAAAGTCTCAATGGTAGTACGGAGTCTGGATTCCGAAAGTCCGGATTTTTCCTGTGTCGTGTGTGCGTTTACAAACATACAAGTTCACATACACATGACACCCAGAGTCGGAACAACAATCTGTGGATCACACAAAGAGTTGTTCTGTGCGGGAATCTAACCCGTGACACGTTGCGCGGCAGCCGGTTGCCCTCCTACCGAGCCAACCGTACAGTCAAAGGGATTTTTTTTTTAAGGGGGGAAAATCATCGCATGACTGCTCCCACCTGGGTTAGGCGAGAGGGAGTGTCAGACTCTTACTGACTAAAAACCACCCCGTTCCTTCTCCTGCACGTCGAGCCGGAGCCTCGGTTACCCGTTAGGTTCTCCGCGACCACAGTCAAAGGGATACTGGGGCTCCGGCTCTATACAGGAATAGGAACGGGGTGGTGTTTAGTCAGTAAGAGTCTGACACACCCTCCCGCCTCACCCGGGCGGGAGGAGTCACTGAAAGGAAAGGAAAAAAAAAATTGGAGTGGGTTATTGAACTCTGGTGAATTCACCCCCTCGGCGATGTTTCACGTCAGGCAGTGGTCTATCACTTGTTGCTTTAGGCCCATTTGCTCCTCTACATAACATAACATAACATCACGCGTTTTATCCCCGGAGGGGTAGGCAGAGGTGTACATTACAGCACTAAAGCCACTGTACAATGTAACGCACACTTTTGATTATTTATATTATGAGTCCCATGTAATAGAAGGTGAGCCTATTGCCATTGCTACTGAGTATTTTTAAAAACCCACATATACTCTGCCCGACCCGAGAATCGAACCCGAGATTTTTTAGACCCGATTGCCCAGCAGTCACGTCGTGGTGGCCCGGAAGTTTAAGACGCCCACTTCTCATGCATGAGGGTGCGGGTTCGAAACCTACCAACGGCAAGTACCAACGTGACTTTTTCCAAGTTATATGTACTTTCTAAGATTATTTAGACACCACTGACAAACGGTGAAGGAAAACATCGTGAGGAAACCTGGACTTATAATTTCTAATTATAAGTTTGAAATCGCCAACCCGCATTGAGCAAGCGTGGTGATTAATGCTCTAACCTTCTCCGTGTGAGAAGAGGCTTTGCTCAGCAGGGGGCATTTATAGACTGTTGATGATGCCCAGCAGTCGCACCAACGACCGCTCGGTCAGCGAGGCAGAATTGCTCTTCAATCCCAGAAAATAAGGAAATAATCTAACCAGAGTCTCATAGCTAGAAGTTTGATTCGCAAGAACAATCTTCCTCTTCGGACAGGAGATCAGGACGGTGTCAGATCTGTTGAAGGTGATGTCTCCTTTCTTGGAATTAGTCTCCAAAAACTGTCCGTTCCTTATAAACACCGGGCCGATACTGTTGAAATCTTTATTCAAAGATAGTATGCATTCTGCAAAAAAGATTATAATAGGGTAGACGACTAATTTTTATTTTAATGTCCGTCTGATAGATTATTTAAAAACATTAGACAAGTATTTTTTATTTTCTCACAGAAACGAATAGTTTCGAAGATATATTGATTTGAAATGTCGCGTGACGTCACTTCTCAGTACATTTTATACTAAGAAATGACGTTTTAGCCCCCACTCCTGAACTTTGATTCGTTTTATCTAAGTATTGTTTTATTATACGACAAAATAAAAAAATACGTGTCTAATATTTTTTCATTACCTAACTTACGGACTAATTATATTTTTAATTTTCATACCCTGTCATCATCCCCATTACTGGATAAAACATTGTACGGGAGATTACCGTAGACTTAAAATAGGCCGGCAACGTACTTGTAAAGCTCTTGACAGACGCATTTTAACTGCAATCCAACCGCAGTTCGGAATAAGTTCAGTTTTTTAATGTAATCGTGTCACGATAAGTATGGGAGAGCCATGCTTTGGCACGAATGGGCCGGCTCGACCGGAGTGATACTACGGCCTCACAGAAAACCGACGTGAAGCAACGCTTGCGTTGTATTTCGTCGTGTGAGTGAGGTTACCGGAGGCCCAATTACCCTCCCCTTCCCCAATCTCCCCAATCCCTGAATCCCCAACGATCCTCAAACTCCTAATCCCCAAAAGGCCGGTAACGCACTTGTAACGCCTCTGGTGTTCCAGATGTCCATGGGCGACGCCGATTGCTTACCATCAGGTGATCCGTCTGCTCGTTTATGCCATAAAAAAATTATTACAATTATCTAGTCGCTTTAATTACATTTTTCATAAAGTTTGCCGTTATATTTTTCTTCTTAATACATAAGTTTTATCAGAGTGCCAAGCACGATTAACTATCGCATTCGTATCGTAACAGTATCGAGCGAGTTAAGCGTTCACTTGAGCCGGCCAATCAGAGCGCCGAACGCGCTTGGCCCTCTGATTCATCTGGTTTCTATATTGTCTATTCGTATCATGATAAAATGTAACCTATACCTCAGTTCTGCCAAAAAATTATAAGCCATCTAATAGTGAAATAAGTTTTGAAATGTTCCACTAGTTTCGGAATGGATGCAATGCAGACAAACAAACGAATATTTGTAACAAATAAGTATTAGGTTAAATGAATACTAATTAACATAATTACGAACTAATTAGTTCAAATATTTGAGTTAATTTGTTGTTACTGTGTCATAATTATGTATGTAAACTGCGCTAGTTAAGTAATTCGTTACAATTTTAAGTGCTAGTACCACAAAATATAACATCACGCCTTTATTCTCCTCCTTTTTTTGAAGTCGGTAAAAAGGCGCTGTACTATTTATTTATTTTAGAAAATTTACATACCTGCCATTAAGTTATACTGTTAATCCTTACTAATATTATAAATCGGAAAGTGAGTTTGTTTGTTTGTTCCGCTTTCACGCCGTAACTACTCAACCGATTGCTTTGAATTTTAGCAGACGTAAAGTTAGAAGTCCGGATTAAATAATAAGGTACTTTTTATCCCAGAATAATTTGATATTCCCGAGGGAAAACAAAAGTATTGGTATACATGGCGCTGTGTGTTTTGGTATATGTCATATAGGCTACTTTTTATCCTTTTGTGACGCGAGCGAAGCCGCGGGTAAGAGCTAGTCTTATATAAATGCTATTATTTAGGTACTTAAAAACAAACTAATTAGGTAATCAAATATAAGATATAAAAATTAATATAATTCAGAAATCTAATTAACAAAAAAAAAACTATACATTTGAACTATATATTTACATATACTATTTATCATATTTTTAACAGTAGCAGTTTAATGACCTCACCCGACTTCGCCCGTTGCACTATCCGTGATTTTCTAGCGTGTCCATTGCAAGGTTAAAATAAAATGGTAATTATTTTGTACATAATTACTATGCATCATTATTTTACAAATGTAAGTAGACATAGATAGGTACTATACTTAAACCTATAACTATGGTTATAATCTGTAGTAGGTATAGTTATTATTCCGTGGTTTGGTTTTTACCCCACGTAAGTAGGTATGTATTTGAAGTGACGTGAAACCACTTTGTGTTGTGTTTCGTCGTGTGAGTGAGGTTACCGGATGCCCAATTACCCTCCCCCCTTTCCACAATCCCTGAATCCCCAACAATCCTAAAATTCCTAATCCCAAAAGGCCGCCGGTAACGTACTTGTAACGCCTCGGGTGTTCCAGGTGTCCATGGGCGACGCCGATTGCTTACCATCAGGTGATCCGACTGCTCGTTTACCGGTTTATCCCATAAAAAAAGTATCTATGCTTACGGAATAATTACCCATTTACAAATATGTTGCCTATACAATATTATAATTTTTTATAAGTCGGTAAACGAAAACTGCCTCGCTGGCCGAGTGGTTGCAAGTGCGACTGCCGGGCAAGGGGTCTCGGGTTTGATTCCCGGGCCGGGAAAAGTATTACTGGGTTTTTTTAAAAAAAATCTTAGTAGTAGCACGGAGTCTGGAAATGTGCCCGGTATATGGCAATAGGCTCACCCCCTATTACATGGGACTCGTAACATAAATAGTGAAAAGTGGGTGTTACATTGTACAGTGGCATTAAGTGCTGTAATGTGCACCTCTGCCTACCGCACCGGGGATAAAAGGCGTGATGTTATAAAAAAAAGAATTTGATTAATTGGCAAGTACACAATTTGAGAATAGTCCACACGACTAAGGGACTACACATCTGACAGAGACAGGGCAGCAGCGCCCTCTGATAAACCTGAACCTTTTATACTGCGATCCACAAAACATATAAAGAAGGCACCATCTGTAGGTAATACGCTTGCCACGATTATAGACTACTTAAGGAAAATCTTAACACGCTAAACATACATTTTCCAAATTCCTATCAACATTGTGTAAAGAGTAAACAAAAAAATTAGCGTCAAACATTTATTATCATAATTAAATGCGTCTATGTATGCACATGAAGTTTATTATGTATAATATCTATATATATATATATACGACATATTTATATGATTAATCACGTTAGTAATCCGTCAAGGAAATCAGGATTCCGTCGTGTGCAAAATATTTATTTTACACCCACGGCAAGCATTGCTTCACGCTTCACTTCAAGTACCAATGTGACTTTTTCCGAGTTAAATGTACTTTCTAAGATTATCTAGACACCACTGACAAACGGTGAAGGAAAACATCGTGAGGAAACCTGGGCTTATAATTTCTAATTATAAGTTTGTAATCGCCAACCCGCATTGAGCAAGCGTGGTGATTAATGCTCAAACCTTCTCCGTGTGAAAAGAGGCTTTGCTCAGCAGTTGGGCATTTATAGGCTGTTAACCTCTCGAGCGCTTCTCGTACACACGGGTAAACGCGCATTCTAGTACACACGGGTAAATATTTTAATAGAAAACGAATTAACTATTCTGTTCAATCAAATAAAGAACGGGTTGCAAACTTGAAAATATACGTCATAGAAAAAATATCCAATCGGTGCGCGTTTCTCGTACACCCGTGTGTACAATTGCGCGATGGACACTCAACTCTCTCGTACACCCGTGTGTACGAGAAACACGCGAGCGGTGATAATCCGTAGCTTATATTAAAAATAGGGCCGTGGTACCACTGGATTGTAAGCTATCAGCGCCGTTTATGGAACTATGCAACACAAGTTACAAGCGTGTTGTCGATGTCGACTAACTGATTTTTTTAAATATAGGTAAATATAATACTACATATCTACTATTATATAAAGCGGAAGTTTGTTTTTTTGTTTGAACGAATCTCCGAAACTACTGGTCCGATTTGAAAAATTAATTTTAATAATAAATTTGCACGCCATATATGGCAGGATACGCTGGAAAAAACTTGCACTGTAACACCTTTTGTACCGTATTTTAGCAAATAAACATTTTTGATTTGATTTAGTTATTATTTAGTAAGCAATCGACGCCGCCCATGGACACCCGTAGGTATCTAACACTAAAGAGAGAAGTTAGAACTGCGTTGCTAGCTGATTGTGGGTTTGGGGAGTGGACAAAAGAGAATTGGGCCTCCGATAAGCCCTCTAACAAGTTTATCAACACATCGTATGCGTTGTTTCACGGCTGTTTTCTATGAGCGTGGTATCACTCCGGTCGAGTCGACAGCGCAGTGCCGAAACATGGTTCTCCGGTCTCCCCAACGCTGTACACACATGACTACGTAGATCACACTTGACCAGGGTTTTCCACAGATTACGTCATTGTTATTATAAAAAAGTAAACCGCAACGTTGACTCTGTAAAGTGTGTTATCTCAAACAATCGATTTTGTTAGTTTAATCTAATAGGTATTGTTTGCAAATTGGTAAAAAAAATCGACCTTACAGCAATCAAGATATGGTAGGTTTACCTAAAGTTGAATGTTTTTAAGGACATTTTCTTTGTTTTTTTTTTAAATAGGTACAACTATAGAGTAAGGTCAAGTCGTTTGCAAAGGACGAGGCAGAGATGAATCGACATCCATTTTTCAGTGAATTATTTATTTAGGTACTTAATTATTTATTTATTTAATGCAGACAGGCCATTGAGACAACTTATACATGCTTGTACCTATCGTATTTTTCAATCAATAGTTAAATACCGGCAATTAGGGGGAGAATTGCTCGATGTCATGTATTTGTCAAGTCTGTTTTTGAACTGGTTAACATTCTGTGCACCGATTACATCTTCAATAATAATTATGTAGATACCTATAATAGGTACCTACTTACAACTTATACCTACCCAGGATTGAGGAGTTCCCATTAAATTATTCAAAGAATTTTCATTTATGAACGCATCAAACAAAGACAAAACAATAGCAACCACTCTACAAGAAAAAAATAAACAAAAAAAAATACTACGCCATAAATATTCCCGCCAAATTTTGACACATATGCATGACATTTAAAAATTTCTTGCGTGTAATTCCTAAGATAAAATTTGTCACAAGTTCACTCACCAGAAGCACATGTTGACAACAAATTGATTATTATTAAAAGAGCTATTGCGCTGAACACGCGTCTGAATTCGGCAGACATTTTAACGCGACTGGCGGTAATGATCGGAAATTAAGAATAAGAACGCGCGCACACTTGTAGAGTCGATCGGCTTATAGCGATTAATCGCATCGCATGAAATGTTACCTAATCGTATTTTAAGTTTTTTTTTGTGTTTAGCCTCTGATGACGGTAGAGTGGAATACAATCAATTTCTTTCCACCCCTATTAATTGTTCTTCCCTGCAATGTGGCAACAGTCGATTAGGGGACTTTTTTATGAAATAGGTAGCAAACCAGCTGATGGATCGCCTAACGGTAGGCAATCGGCGCCGCCCATGGACACCCACAACACCAGAGGACGAATGCGTTGCCAGCATTTGGGGATAAGGAAGGTTTGGACCGTGGGCACCGAACCACATGAATACGGCGATACATCGCAAACGTTGTTTTACGCCGGTTTTCTGTAAAGCCATCACTCCTGTCGAACCGCTACTGAAACATTGCTCTCTCACGTGGGACCACAGATTAAAACAGGAAATTGGGCAGTAGCGTCCTCTGACAAACCTTTTAAAATGCAATTCTCAACCCACCAGCCAGGCGTTATTGCAAACCGTCGTATTATACTCCGAAAAATCTACATCGTTTTCGTCCCGAAGTAAAATGGTTCTGTCTCGGTAATACAATATGTAATTTTACAAAGAAATAAAATGTTTTAAACAAGACATACGTAACTGGTGAACCATTGCAAAAATCAAACTTCGACCGCATACGAACTCATAGTACATTATCAAAACATCAAGCCATGTAATTCTCGAAGAGGTATTTCTCGTCGGGCGGCACGGGCGATGCGAATAGTGCCTACAAATTTACGTCTAGTGTTACATGTGCGTATTTCAATGAATATTTATTTAAAAATAAAAAAAATACAACTACCTATATTTTTTATTACAAGCTGAAAAAATTTTTAGATTTCTGTAAACGGGCCAACCTGTGTTAACATTAGTAATAGCAGACTCTTTATTCTGAACACGAGTTTTTGCTTATTATTACAAACTGGCACTAGTTAAGTAAACATTTTGTAAAAAAGAGTATTTTAGCGTACTCTATTAGTGTTGCAGATTATAGAATACACCTACATTTTAGAGAGAACAAGACAATACTCTATTTTAGGGTAAGGTTGGCAACCCTAACGGTCACGCATGAGTTGCTAATTATAATATGAGTGGTTAATAAATTAATATCCTCGGTTGCCAAAGTAGAGAAAAAAATTTGATATTTGATGTGGACGGACAATAGATACATAATTCATAATAATTAAGGTGCACCATATAAAGTACCTAAGTAGGTACTACCTTAAATTATCATGAATATTTTAGAATGACAAACCAAAATACAATATTTATCACAAAAACATAGGTATACTTGTTTTAATCAAGTTTACGAAACAATTCGATATGTCACAGTTTATTATTAAGTACTTATTATGAGTAAACAAAAGAAAACAATCCTAACTCATCTGTGTCCAATTCTAAATCTATAGAATAGGTATAAGTAGAATAAATAGGTTGCTTATGAGTCGACGTGCTCCATCGTAGGATTTGTAGGCCGCATCATCGCTTACCACCAGGCGAGATAGTGGTCAAACGTTAGTCCCATCTATTATAAAAAAGATCCTGCGTATGAAACATGCAATGACGCAAGTAGGTACAGTGTACTATGTGACTTCATACACGCAGAATCTGTGCAAACATAATGTTGCAACCTATTGGATAAAGAGATTAGACGAATATTTATGAACCAACGTAAAGTGTCGTATGTAAGTAGGTATCTACTCGGAACTTAATCTAATTTTATGCACTATTTTACCCAGTAAAACGAATGGAGACTTCCTAAGTACGATAGAAACTGGAAAAAGGTGTGCAGGAATTACACCGAAAAACATTCCACCACGACCTTTTTTTTATATGGGACAAGCCCGCCACATCCTCCCAAAACCGCTGCAACTCCTGTAAGCCAAGATCTACAACTATGAAAACACCGGAACAGAGAGCCAGGGATATGAATAACTGTCTTGGTTCCCGCAACGAAGTAAATCAGAAGATACTATAAGAGGAGAAGAAAAAAAAACGATAATTTTACCACTTCCCTCGGTGAATTACTGCAGGAGACAAAATGAATTAAGCCTAAAGGCACAAAAAAGTGACTGTACAACTGGGTGAAGCCCAGTCGCCAAGCACCACGGAAACTTGACTATAAACTAAGTGCCTCCTATGTGTGAGCTGTTATACTTGCTTCCAATAATAGGTATGGCAAAAGCGCCTAAACGCACGGAAATTTGTTCTAGATTCCATTAGGTCCGTATAATAAGCTACACCTGACGAAACAATTAAATTATTTAACACCTTGAACGCCATGAGGGACAAGGTATGGGTCACGATAGCGGAGGATTTGCCTTTAACAGTTTTCTGTAGGCAGTCAAACTGTTAATATAGGTGTTACGGTCATATTGCCACCATGAACTTGCACCTAAATTCTAATGGCACCCAGAATCCCAGACATTAGTACCTACCGTCTTTGCCATAAGGGCATTCGGCGCCCGTGCCCAGGACCCAGAGCCCTCATCTTTAGGGGGCCTCGAACCAGTAACCAGCTGCCTTGCAACGTATAACGGGTTCGATTCCCGCACGAAGCAAATCTTTGTGTAACATAACATAACATTCACGCCTTTTATCCCCGAAGGGTTGCACAGTACGGCACTTAATGCCACTGTACAATGTAACACCCACTTTTCACTATTTTATGTTATGAGTCCCATGTAATAGGAGGTGGGCCTATTGCCATATACCGGGTACAATTCCAAACTTTGTGCAACCACTGAGATTTTTAAAAACCCAGTATACTTTCTCCGACCCGGGAATCGAACCTGAGACCCCTTGCCCGGCAGTCGCACTTGCGACCACTTGGCCAACGAGGCAGTCTTTCTTCAAATGTTTGTGTGATTCACATTATTGTGGTTTTAGGTCTGTGTGTCATGTGTATGTGAACTTGTATGTTTGGAAACGCACCCACGACACAGGAGAAAATCATAGTGTGGGGGTAACCCCAGCGATTCCAAAGGGTCCTGAATCATGGTGTGCTTAAGGGTAAGTACCAATGTGACTTTTTCCGAGTTATATGAACTTTCTTAGATAATCTAGACATCACTGACAAACGGTGAATGTAAACATCGTGAGGAAACCTGGGCTTATAACTTCTAATTATAAGTTTATAATCGCCAAACCGCATTGAGCAAGCGTGGTGATTGATGTTCAAACCTTTTCCGTGTGAGAAAAGGCTTTCCTCAGAAGTGGGCATTTATAGGCTGTTGATGATGATTACCGTTTGTCATCCCACGTCAGTTTGTGATTAGTCAGCTTAGATTAAGTCGGTTAATCTGCGCCCAATCTTAAATCGATTTGTTTGTATACGTAGCACTGTAGCAGGGCAACGGCATTTGTGTGACGTCGTACGTCTTAACTGTTTTCGCTTAAACACGTTTTTAATTCCGATGCACGGATTTAAATAGTGCAGAAACCGGAATCCGTAATATTTATGATGATCGTCCATAGTTCCCAATTTACCGGTCCACACTTCCACAGCAACCATAGATATATTAAAGAATATATTTCTGTGACAGCCACTCATCCATAGCCATACTTTGTTTACAAACGACTTCAAAAAAAGGAGGAGGTTCTTAATTCGACTGTATTTTTATGTTTGTAACTCGAGGCGTCTTCAAGTAGACGCCTGGACCGATTTAAAAAAGCCTTTTTTTGTTTGAAAGGGTTGGCTTGCCGACTTTTCAACTACCAGTGGGTGTGTACTTACTTTGCTTTTTAGTTTTTACTTTTCATTTGTTTTTAATTTTTGAAGTTGGTTTTTTTTTCATTATCTACAATAGTTCTATACGAACCGGGGACTATCTTTGGGTGCATTTCCATAGTGCATACTGGGATAGTCGCCGGTTTGTGTGTCCATTACATTTAGAATATAGTTGTCTAAAGGCTCTGCGCAGTTGGCTTCGGCACCTCGTACGCCTCCCAAATGACGGGGACACTGTGGTCCCATGAGTGTTAAAAAAAATTGATCATCGAAAAGGATTAGGTTTTGGTTTACGTGACGCGAACGTGAGACTATGGGCACACTAGGGAAGTGTCGGTATCTCATCGCCTAATTAGGTTCCATAAACACAAAAATATTTTTTTATTTCATTTTAGTACGAAGGTCACAAGTGTGACTGTAGAGAAAGAGATCTCAGATTCGATTTACAAAGCCTATTATTGTTTTTTTAGACACGAAGCAATGATTGCAATTATTTAAATCTACGACTGGGAGTCATCATAAGATGTAGGTACAAAGGTACTTACTTTTTATTTTTGTCGACGGTGGGACACCTTCAAAAGGCGCCTAGTTTTTTGGGGAAAAAGAATAGGTAGGGAGTGTGAGATTTTTATCTCACTAAAACCTTCCCGGTAGCCAACATCCGCATCCGCACCGTACGGAGGCATTGACACCGGCACCGCACTTGTAGGTACCCACCTACATGTGTATTATTACCGTCTTTTTTTAAGGGGGGATAATCATCTAATGTCTTCTCCCGCCTGGGTAAGGCGAGAGGGAATGTCAGACTCTTACTGACTAAAAACCACCCCGTTCCTACTCCTGCACTTCGAGCCGGAGCCCCGACAACCCGTTAAGTCCTCCACGGCTATTTACGCCACCTAATTACACTAAGGGAAAACCGAATTTCTTAACAAATCAAATATAATGACTGGACAAAATTGAAAATAGATACTCACATTCCTAATTGCGTAAATGACTTATCTTGGGGTTTATTAAACGTGCGTATTGCGTATTATTCCAAATTGAATAAATTAATTTTCCTTATTTACCTACTAGTTGGATAATAATTAGTAGGTTCTATGATTTATTTTGAGGTTTAACGCAAATTATGAACTTCCTTAAGAAGCGAGTTAAAGGTCGTCTATTAAACGCAATTGTTTTTTTCATTTGATGGGCCAACGTTTGTCCACTATCTCCGCCTGGTGGTAATATAAGCAACCTATACACTCGGGCCTTGAAGACTCCTAGGCTGTATATACCATTCAGGAAATACAGACTCTGGCAAAAAATTCCACTCTTTAGCAGTACGCACAAGGAAGCTTGAAGCGAAGCGCTTCGTGCATGTGTGTGGGACATCTACCATGAATTGGTGAAGCTTTGCCGGTTGTCTTGTAGTACGATGATGGAAAGGACTAGGGGGAATCAAGTTGTGCAATTCCCCCGCACACTCACCGAAATGTATCCGGTAGAAGACTGAAAGGCTTGCAACCTTACGCCTGTGTTCGAGGCTTTAAATAAAGAAATAAATAAATAAAAAATAAATAAATAACTCGGAGCCCGTGCCCAGGGCCCCATTATGGTTCGATTACTGCGGGTTGTTGTTCTGGGTCTAGGTATCATGTGCATTTAAAATTATATAAGTAGGTATTTGAAAACGCACACACGATACAAGAGAATATCGTGGAAAAATCCAAGTGTGGGAACCGTTAAAAAAATTTTGCCCTGTCATCAAGACACAGTCGAATAAATTTGTCAGCATCCCTTCTAGACGTATAATAAAATTGTACGTAAGTTTAAATTCGGAACATGGAAAATATATATAAAAAAAATGTATGTGCGTCAAATCAAAACGGCTAAACAGACTGGGATGATATTTCGAACAGGGGTAGGTTCCGGAGTATATATTATATACATATATATACGGAGAATAATATAGGATACCTTTTACCTCAGATAATGCGGGCAAACCCACTGGCAGAAGCTAGTAAAGAGTAGGTAAATTATATAAATTAGTCGGGTATAAGACACCCGCGGGTGTTGTATACTAATTCAAATTTATACTACCCGACTAAGGAGAGTCAAATGTGCACTACCCGACTAAGGGACTACACATTAGACAGACACCGGGCAGCAGCGCTCTCTGATAAACCTGAACCTTTTATACTGCGATCTTCAACCTGGCTGCGGAGATTATGGCAGCTCGTAAAATGTGATTAAGTGTGTGGATATACACTGCTTCGTTGGCTAAGTAGTCGCAAGTGCGACTGACAGGCAAATATTTCCGGGTCGGGCAAATTATTACTGGGTTTTTAAATAATTCTCAGTAGTAGCACGGAGTCTGGAATTGTGCCCGGTATATGGCAATAGGCTCACCCTCTTACATGGGACTCATAACATAAATAGTGAAAAGTGGGTGTTACATTGTACAGTGGCATGATGTGTACCGCTTCGGGGAGAAAAGGCGTGATGTTATGTTATGTTGTGGATATACACAAAAATGACTACATACATTTGAACGAAAGTGATGGATCTTAGAATCATAGAATAATGGAATACTAGCTTTTACCCGCGGCTTCGCTCGCGTCACAAAAGGATAAAAAGTAGCCTATGTGACATATACCAATACACACAGCGCCATCTATACCAATACCTTTGTTTTTCCTCGAGAATATAAAATTTTTCCGGGTTAAAAAGTACCCTATTATTTAATCCGGACTTCTAACTTTACGTCTGCAAAAATTCAAAGCAATCGGTTGTGTAGTTACGGCGTGAAAGTGGAACATACAAACAAACAAACAAACTCACTTTCCGATTTATAATATTAGTAAGGATAAGGACTAGTAAGGATTATAGAATAAAACATAGGTAGGTAATACAAACTGAAATATGTGCGTTTGACTGAACAGTTGGCACGGTGGCTGGGACATGTCTCATGGGTTCGATTCAAACTATGTATTTTTGTGTGAATTACAATCTGCTATGAATAGCACTAGGACTTATCTTATAGGATATTATAGGATCTTATAGAACTTTATCTTCGGTTAACCAAAGATAAAGTCCTAGTGAGGCAACATTAAAAAATAAATAAAAATCCAAATAGCTTTAAAGTAATTTATTTAACTGGCAACAAATCCCCCCAATTGCAAGACCGAGCACATCTGTACGTAGTCTGATCATACTTTGCTTTAGAAAATATAACTTCCTTCAACTCTCCCTGTGCCGTACATAACTTACAAATTGTATGCTTCGACCGTACTATAGGAGCTCGGACAATCCTTGGCCATTGCGGATCATCAGGAGGACGAACTCCTTTCTTCAGTATGACGTATGAAAACAAATCTGCGAAGACTTCCGCTTTGCCTGCATACGGTAATGATTCATACTTCATTAGGAAGTTACACGGAGTTTCATGTTCCAAGTACCGTGGGCAGATGTTGTCATTTGGACACGGAGAGAACGCATAACCTTCTTTTCCTTCCTTTCCTTTTAAGTTGAGTACAAATTCTCTAGCTTCATTTACTATTTGGAAACCTGCATTTGAACCGTGTTCGACAATTATAAGGTAGTCCTCAGTTTTATTCCACAGTTTTTGTATAGTTTCTAATCTAGATTGGAGGCTTGGTAGTTCGAATAGTGAGTATGCAGATAAAACGATGCTGTATTTCAGATCTGATGAAGCTGGAAGGAATTGTCGTTGGAAGAATCCTCTTAGAGGCATTTCTACGTTGTCTTTGCCTTGGCAGAGGATGAGACGGGCCAAATCGTGCATCGTTGAGGACGTATCAACGCAGAAGTATTCAAATATCTCATTTTTCCAGAAATGGTTGACGGCCCAGGTGCCAGTGCCTACTCCGGAGCCAAAGTCGAAGAAACTCCGAGGTTTATAGTCCGGATTGAACTTTTTTATCTCATCTAAGATTCGTAATAAGACTGCGTACTCTGGGGCGGCTCTACTCATTAAATACTGTAAGGAGGTTGGTTTGTCATATGCTATGTTACCCCACCGATACACATTCTTCTTTAAAACACCAAAAGTCTTATTCTGTATCTTTTTTTCATACACTTCTAGCTCTTCGGGCGATAATTCTCGATCAATACCAGAGTAAACTTGTTTGGAAATAGCGTTGCGCAATTTTTGTGCTTTTTCGTCGATTTCGCCGTCTTCTGGCGGTAAATGACGTGAGCGAATGTAGTTGCTAAGTTTTATGCTCTCCTGGTAGTAAGCTTTAGCTCCTGCATCGTCCAGAATTAGTTTAATAGCCTTCTGAATATCCGGTGGTATAGCAGCAAGTTTGATTCGATTTGTCCCCGGATGTTTGCGAGGTTTGAACACTTTTGCTTCAAAATTATCTTTCAAAGTAGGGTCTACAGCTACCCTTGTTGTGTAATTAGCGTAGATAGATGTGAAATACTTTATTCTTAATTTTCTAAACATTTTTATAACCTTAAAAACTATCACGATCCAATGTTTTTCTACAAATGTCAATTTTACTTTTTACACTGACATTTCTGTTAACGTCTAGGGAAGCACAACTGCTAGTCGCCTAAAACATAGCGAGTAGTCAGTACCTTAGGTCGGAGTTTTAATTAGTAAAAAATAAGTACTACTGAGTTATTATTGCTTCAATGTGTTAATTTATTTGCGTCACATTCATATAATTAGTACATTGTGGCTTCATTCAATCTATAAGCGGAAGTGATGGTCTATAATACGATGTGATTTGTATTAAAATCTACTAAATTACTACTAATGTGATTGTCACATCACTCACTATCATGAAATGTCAAATGAACAAAGTCAAAATTGTTCAAAATCTGAAATCATAATATTTTGATCGTACATTCCTACGCATTTTTTATTTCCTACAAGCTTTAAAATGTTAATTTTAAGTGTAATAGTCAGTAGTTTAGTTCTTGCAGCTGCTGAAGAGGACACGAGTGCGCAATACTGTGATAAAACAACAAAATCTTGCGGGAACAATGATGAAGTATCTTATGGTAAAAAACACATATTCTACGATGTTAATCCTCCTGAAGGCTTCAATTTACGAAGAGACGTGTATATGAGGTTCGCTATAATGTTAGCTGAGGCTCAGAAACAAGGTAAAGACAACTGGGAGCTAGTTTTGCCTCCTTGGTATAACCTCTATCATTGGAGGTCGGGACGCCGCCAACCAACACCTTGGAACAAATATTTCGATATAAAATCATTAAAATCATACTCTCCAGTCGTCGAAATGCATGAAATATTCTCAAAAACTAAGAAAAAGGAATTAGAAATCGATGTTTTGTATATCTTGGAGAATTATGAGGATCCATTTGAAAACGGAGTTTTTAATGAAAAATGGCACGTCAAAGGCGAATGTGAATACGATGGCTTGTACTGGGGGTACAACAATGTCACAGCCAAAGAGGTTCTATGTGTTCAATTCCAAGGAAAAGCGTCACAACTGTGGGAATTAATAGCTTTACATCCACACGCAACTAAATTAATGTTTTCGCATGGCGAAATACCTTTACACGACACCTATGGCACAAAATCTTACTGGGATTGCCGTAAAAGCATGAAATTTAATAAAAACCTCATTCATATAGCTAAAGATTACATTGCAGAATATTTAAAGTGTAAAACGGAGAGATGTGCTACGTACTTCAGTGTTCATTGGCGAAGACAGGACTTTGCCCGCAGCAGAGGCAATCAAGTACCATCAATAGCTGGTACCGCTAAACAGATACGTAAAGCGTTGAAGAAATTACCCGATATCAATAAAGTTTTCATAGCAACGGATGCATCAATGTCCGAAATAAATAAGTTGGAAAACGCTTTAAATGACTACGGTTACGAGACCCACTTTTTCTTACCGAGTCCCTCGATAATTGAGGAGTATGGAGATGGTGGGATAGCTATAATAGATCAGATCATCTCATCTCATGCTGCGTACTTCATCGGTACCCATGAAAGTACATTTACGTACAGAATTCAGGAGGAACGGGAGATTTTGGGTTTCGATAGCAGTACTACGTTTAACAGACTATGTCCTGATACCGGACATTGTGAGAAATCTACAAAGTGGTTGATTGTCAACTGAACATTAGAAAAATTTTATGTTGTACTTCCTCTCATAGATTGATAAGCTATAATGAATCTTATTTGCCGTGTTTTAAAGACTACTTTTGTTAGAATGAATTACGATGAATAATTTTGTCTCGGAAGTATGATAACAATACAAAATATGAACTTATATTAAGTTTAATATGTTGATATATCAAACTGAAAATCCCCAGAATTTGTCCATACAAAAGTAGTCTCTAAAGATTGAAAATAAGGTCTATAATGGATTTAGTGGAAAGTGGTCACCGGTGACCACGTGAGGATTGAATAGTTAAGCTGAAGTCAACTTTAACTATCAAATGATAGAGTGTATATTTGATAATAATATTAATCATAATAGTAATATTTGTATGCAACTTCCTAAAATGGGAAGATTAAAGTTAACAAAAGATTTTAATAAAAACAGTGTGTAAGCTAAAACTGCACGGTTGGCGCGGTGGCTGGGCAACTGGCTGCCGCGCAACTTGTCACGGGTTCGATCCCCGCACGGAACACTCGTTGTGTCATCCACAATTTGTTGTTTCGGGTCTGGGTGTCATGTGTATGTGATATTGTATATTTGTAAACACACCCACGACACAGGAGAAAAACCTAGTCTGGGGCAACGTTTAAAAAAAGAACTTTAGGATCTAGTACTTAAGATTGCATTTTATTTGAATCTATCTTAGCTACTAGCTGTCGCGGAGAACCTAACGGGTAACCGGGGCTCCGACTCGACGTGCAGGAGAAGGAACGGGGTGGTTTTTAGTCAGTAAGAGTCTGACACTCCCTCCCGCCTCACCCAGGCGAGAGTAGCCATTCGATGATTTTCCCCCCTTAAAAAAAAAAAATCTTAGTACTAGCTGTTGCCCGCGATTTCGTCCGCGTCGAATATGAATTTTGGAACAAAAATTTATTTGTTTCAATTTTTCAAAATTAAAGTAGCCCATGTTTCTCCTTAGTACATCAGCTACCTGCCAATAAAAGTCTACCCATTCTAGAGATTAAACTGTCAAACAATAGGTTGCGGTCACCGGTGTCCTCGCGGAGACACCGGTGACCGCAACCTATTGTTCTTTTTTTTTTCTTTCTTTGGCAACCGAGACTCCAATACGATTATTGTTTTTTAATTGTGTCTATAATGATGGTACACAAAGGGTTAATTAGCCAGTACAAACAGACAGACAAAAATTGTAACAAATGTTATTTTGATGTGTTATATGTATATTCATATGCATGTAGTAGAATATTACAATTTTATTTATCTGTATAGATAATGCAACTTTTTTTTTATATCTGAATGTATGAAGCACAATGGAGAAGCTAAAATTACCTCTAAATACAGTAATGCTCGGCTCCAGCCGAGACGTGGACACTAACAGTGCGACTGGGCCACCAATTTAAGGTGGCGTAGCGAGCTATGGAGAGGGCTATGCTCGGAGTATCTCTGAAGGATAGGATCCGTAACGAGGTGATCCGACAGAGAACTAAAGTTACCGATGTAGCCCAAAGGATTAGCAAGCTGAAATGGCAGTGGGCCGGTCACATTTGTCGAAGAACCGATGACCGCTGGAGTAGACGTGTTCTAGAGTGTAGACCGCGTCTAGGCAAACGTAGTGTAGGGCGCCCTCCAGCTAGATGGAGTGACGATATACGTAAAGTGGCTGGTAGTGGTTGGATGCGTAGATCTGAAGATCGAGCTCAGTGGCGTGCCATTGGAGAGGCTTATGTCCAGCAGTGGACGAAAACAGGCTGTTGATGATGATGATGACAGTAATGCTATGTTTATTTTTGTTTGAAGTAAACTTTTTATAGAAATATCTCTAAGGATAATATAAAATGAATATTAAGTCTATGACGTTTAAGTCTAATTTTGTTAGTAATATAATTTTTAAGTTATTTGTAAGTTATACTGTCAAACTGTGCCATAATAACAATACCAAAGGAATTTTAATTTATTTTTTAATAAATTTTTATTTTTGACTATACCTACATTTTTTTACCTATGTTGATCCCACATAAATCTGAATTTTTCATCAAGTACCAATGTGACTTTTTCCGAGTTATATGTACTTTCTAAGATGATAGTGATGCGGACGAATACTTTGACGCCTAAATTAAGGGTATAATTTTTGTTGTTTTCTTTTACTTTCTTTTTATTTAATAGTTTAGTTGTAGTTAATTTTAAGTTGTAAATATTTATGTAGTTATATTTAATTAGATGTAAATTAACAGAAATCCTATTACTCCATTAAAGTTATCTTTCTAAGATTATTTTAGACACCATTGACAAACGGTGAAGGAAAAACATCGTGAGGAAACCTGGGCTTATAATTTCTAATTATAAATTTGAAATCGCCAACCCGCATTGAGCAAGCGTGGTGATTAATGCTAACCTTCTCCGTGTGAGAAGAGGCTTTGCTCAGCAGTAGGCATTTATAGGCTGTTGATGAAATCTGAATTTTTACTTTTTGTGACTCACTCGAGTGCACGGTTGGTGCGGTAGCTGGGCAATCTGCTGCCGTGCAACGTGTAGCGAGTTCGATGCCCGCACGGAGCAACTATGTGTGATCCACAAATTGTTGTTCCGTGTCTGTGTGTGATGTGTATGTGAACTTGTATGTTTGTAAACGCACCCACGACACAGGTGACATTCCTAGTGAGGCAATTTTTTTTTTTTTTAATTACGTCATAACGGCTGTTGAGATCGGGATAAAATTGGGCACAGGGGTAGATATGGCCTAGTCTAGAATACTGAATAAGACAGGTTACTTTTTAATTCACAGAAAAGCGGACGAATCCGCTAGTAGCTTCGCGGAGAACCTAACGGGTAACCGGGGCTCCGGCTCGACGTGCAGGAGAAGGAACGAGGTGGTTTTTAGCCTTACCGACTTGTAGTCACACCAGTATGACAAACAGGATTTTTTTTCTCGTTTGTCACACCACTTATTTTTCTACACCATTTATTCTTAACTAGTGCTGTCCTAGAGCTAAATTAAAAATCATCAAATTATCAAGTTTTTATTAAATTGATGCCTTTATTTAATTAAATGTGTAACATAAAGTAATAATAAACTAACTATGTATAGTAATAATATGTACAAACAGGTAGTAAAAAAAAACTCATAGGGCGTCAATTATTATAATTAAGTTTATGGCGAAAAGAGAAATCAATTGGTTCGAAAAGTAAACTACATAAAAGAATCCATCCCTATCTATATCAATGGGAAAGGTGCCCAGAACGCTGGCAGCATTGCCACGTTGGATGGCAATGCTGATTCGTTGACAAAAGAAAAGCCCGGCCCTGTGGTCACGCGAAGAGTCGACGTTTACTGATATCTCGAACAACACGATGAGCGCATGTAATTTCCGATAAGGTTATTATATTTGTGCCGCTGAGGGTTTCTGCACTTGCGGCAGCCGCCCCAGCACAACCTGCCGTAGTCAGAAGATGAGATGGCGAAGGGTATCGACACATGTTGCAAACCTTTAAATTAAATTAACTATCGAGTGTCCTCGAAATCTATCCCTTTCGAGTATCCTCGAAATCTATCGGGCATCCTCGATCACTTTCGAGCGTCCTCGATCACTTTCGAGCGTCGTCGAAATCTATCGAGCGTCCTCGATCACTTTCGAGCGTCCTCGATCACTTTCGAGCGTCCTCGATCACTTTCGAGTATCCTCGAAATCTATCGGGCATCCTCGATCACTTTCGAGCGTCCTCGATCACTTTCGAGCGTCCTCGATCACTTTCGAGCGTCCTCGATCACCTTCGAGTATCCTCGAAAACTATCGAGCGTCCTCGATCATTAACTCAAGCATTGCATTTACAACCGGCCAGTACCTACTAGATAAGGTTGCATTATCATATGAACCACTGGACATCCACATAGAGCTTTAGTACCTATTTATTTAGACGGCCTCGTTGGCTGAGTGGTCGCAAGTGCGACGGGCAAGGGGTCTCGGGTTCGATTCCCGGGTCGGGCAAAGTATTACTGGGTTTTTAAAAATCTCAGTAGTAGCACGGAGTCTGGACATGTGCCCGGTATATAGCAATAGGCTCACCCCCTATTACATGGGACTTATAATATAAATAGTGAACAAGTAGGTGTTACATTGTATAGTGGCATTAAGTGCCGCAATGGGCACCTCTGCATACCCCTTTGGGATAAAAGGCGTGATGTTATGTTATGTTACCTATTTATTAATTAAAAGTAGAAAATATTAAAAACTCGCCAAAGAACGAAAGACGGCAAACGCCGATCGACTTTATTGGAATGTAAAGGTACTGCACTAGTAATTATCGTATACATAGTGTAGAAAAATAAGTGGTGTGACAAACGAGAAAAAAAATCCTGTTTGTCATACTGGTGTGATAATCTGGTGTGAGTGTGACTACGAGTTGGTAAGGGTTTTTACTCAGTAAGAGTCTGACACTCCCTCCCGCCTCACCCAGGTGGGAGCAGTCATTCGATGATTTTCCCCCCTTAAAAAAAATACTTCTTATACTAATATTTTATTGTATAAAGCGGAAGAGTTTGTTTTTTTTTGTTTGTTTGTTTGAACGCGCTAATCTCCGTAACTACAAGTCTGATTTGAATAATTCTTTTTGTGTTGGATAGCGCATTTATCGAGAATGGCTATAGGCTATAAAACATCACGCTACGACCAATAGGAGCTGAGCAGAGCGTGTGAAACCATGCGGAAGTACCTAGTACTAAAGACGAAAAAAAGTAACTAGCACTAAAATAAAACCCCACTCATCAATTCAGGAATATTTATTATCATGTCATTTTTCTACGAATTTTACAGAAAAATATTTACTTATAGATAGATATAATACATCTATCAACTGATACAATTATTATGATAAAACTTCACCAGTTTTGCAAAAATGCTACATATGATGGTAACTAGGTATAGGTATTGATAAAGAATAGGTTATGTAGAATACTAATTTTTATTTCAATGTCCGTCTGGTAGATTATATTAAAACAT